CTACAGGCTGACGGGAATGGGCAACAAGAACATTAACAGACAGGAAAAACTAACATTTCAATGGTGTACTACTTAATTCTTCTAACAAATGGGAAAATGGAAGACAGATGGTAAAAAATAAAAAACCAAGAAAAAAATTTTCAAAAAGAAAAAACATTGATTTCCTTTGGATCCGAGAAACATCAAGACCAATAAATACATAAATAACAAATAAGAATGAAACAGTGAACCAATGACTTGCACACTAATTTTGACTAAAACCCATCAACCAAGATCGATCTTTCTACAATCAAAAACACTACAACTTCTACACGCATCCCATTCATAAGTGTATATACTTCAAATTCATCCTAATTTGCCTTTTTTTTTTTTCATTTCTCTTTTCTCTTCATGTATGAACCTATTTCAATCCTGATGATTTAACTTCAGAAGCAACAATTAACTCAATATTTTGCTAAAAAACATAAAAGAAAAACAAATACCATGACAGAGATCTGAAATAAGAATGGAATTGATATATACCATGAGAAGAAAATTCATGGTGGAGGGATCTAGGGGATAACGATGGGAATTCCTGATAACTCTGCTTCTGACGCGGTCTGGGTCGCCATCTCCGATTCCACTGACCCATTTTTCAAGAAAGATGTGAGAATCGAATTGGGGCGAGGAAGAAGAAATGGGTTGAGTCTTTTATGGGGTGTTTAAATAGGTAAGAGCACTGGGTGTGTTGTGTTACCTTCTCTGTCCGGACTTACGTAGATTGTTCCGAACACACTTCTGGATAAAAGCCCTCTCGAAACGTTTCAGTGGTTTTCTTTTTCTATGTTTTCGGAAGAGTTAAACTCTAAAAAATAAGTTGAATCTCAATTTGTACCGTTAAAAATAAAAAGTCTCAATTTGTATTATCAAATATAAATTTATATCGAAACCCCCTCAAATTTGTTATTTGATCATTTAAACCCCTCATACTTAGAATATTACTCCTACACTTCCTAACGTTTATGCACGTATAAAACATAACCCCTTGTCATTATATCTATTAGTATAACTGTTAAAAAATATGATTTCATCCTAATAAAAATGACTATTTTCATACTATCATTTATTTTGTGAGTCTGTTATACTATAAAGTTCAAAATTAAGTTTATCATTTGAATATAATATAAGTATTTATATATTATTTTTCATATCCAATGCAATACATCACTTGAACATAATTATTTAGATGATCAACTAGGAGAATATTTTTAGTCATATTTAGATTTTCAAGGGATATAGGTGTAATATTTTAAATATAATGGATCTAGGTGATTAAGTGACAACTATAAGAGGTTCTAGGTGTAATTTATCTATTTAATTTTAGATTGCATGTTAGTTTTAAGTGCGAATTGATACAAATTTCTAAATTTCTATTTTGAAAGTATAAATTGAGATTTTTTATCTTTGAAGGTTCAAATTAAAATTAGAATAATCTTTCATGATGTAATTTGTGATTAACCCTTTCCAAAATAAGGTGTCTTGGTGAGTAAATATTAGATTTAACGATTGTACTATATGTCACGTGTTGTAATTATTCAATAATAATTAAAATAGAAACTTAGGATTTAACGAGTAAAATGGATCAAATTGGATTAGTCTACGGCTGATCAAATGATAAAAATAGATAGAAAGACTTAATTCACATAAAATGAATAATTAATGAACTAAATTAAAATAATTAAAAGTTCATAGAATAAATTAAAAATTGAAATCATAGTTTAGGAATTAATTATGATATTTACCCTAAATCTTTGGATAAATATCATAGTTACTGAATGTTGTATTTGTTGTTTTATTGGTAATGTTTAAATAATAGGGTCGACTATGTCCCTACAATATTTTATTAATTAATTATTGATAACACGTGACAATAAATATATGATATTACCGACAAACATGTTTTCTCCACCAATAAGGAATATCTTTGCTACAATAGACACTATAAGTGACAAAAATTAATATAAAAAAGTAAAATTTCGTACACAATTCCAATAAGTTTCTCTAGTCCTATTATTATATTATTTTTTTCATTTTTTTTTTCGTTTGGTTTTTTCACCTGACTTGAATAATTGATTTTCTCTTCTATTTTCCAATGCATAATCCATTTTGTATGCAAAAATAATAAAGTTTTTAGGTTGCATCCGACGCACATACTTTCATATATTACAGGCTTGAGAGAGATAAATGATAAAAAAATTTATAATTGTTTTTCAACAGATTGATTGTCAAACTTAACCCCCGTAACGTATTTTAACAATAAAATATCTCAAAAAATTCAGTTTTCATAGAATATTTTAAGTTGACTTTACGATCTTTAATAATAATGGTAAACCCAACAAAATATAACTAACTCACTTAAATTCTTAGGTTGTATCGGATACACATGCTTCTACGTATTATAGGGATTGAATAAGATAAATGATAGACAAAATTATCACAGTTTATTAGCGGATTGATTGTCAAACTCGACCCCACCTAATTTCGACTACAAAATATCTTGAAATATTTCAGTCTTCATATCGGCACTTGGTTTGCTGTTGACTAAATAAATCAACTGTTAGCAAAATTTCAAAATCATAGAAAACAATAATTCAACAAAGTGGTTCAAATGTGTCTATCAATCATTCAAATCCATCTAAAAATGTAAAACAAAATCAAATTATGGTAATAGGATTTTCGAATCGAATCGAATCGAATCCGAAGTGAAGTTAAACTCGAATCGATCAATTCGATTAACAGCTGTACGTACCCGCGTGTCCCCCTCCCCTCTCTACAAGACTACAACCACAACCACTACCGGCAAACTCAAACCTAACCACCGCCACCACCCCCACCAAACACCATCACCACTCAAATTCTAAGCAAAGGCGATTGTTTGGTAATATTTGAACAACGGAAGGACTTAAAAGGCAACCGTTTGGTGACTGACAATCTCATGGGAAGATTCATCATTTTTCAGTATTTCTACAAAGGGTTAAGTAAATGGGAAGGAAAAAAAGGGTAATATTAATCTACATGAATTGATATTTATATGGAATTGACTGGTGACTTTTAAAGTCTTCAACCTTCATCGAAGAGAAAGGTATGTGCATTGTTTATCTCTTGTGAATAGATCCAACAATTCTTAACACGAATTGTTGAGGTTAGCAGTTCACCTAATGACTACTATCCCGTTGTTGGATATCGTGGATTCGAACAATGTCGTCCTCTTTCTTGTAATAATGTCAACCCCAAAGAATGTTTTGTCAATCTTGATGAATGAGTTGATCTATCAAATCTTTATTAATAAATGGATCGATAGAAATCAACTAAACTTGCATAAGAAGTTATTGTTAGAGTATTTTAATAAAAATAGACTTTCTTTATTGTGATAGTTATTAGGTTGATTTAAGTGGGCATTATGCTATGTTATTAAAGCAAATAATAAGCGTGATTTTTATGATACAAGTAAATAGGCTAGTTATTTTGGACAAGAGTTACAATTGCATAAACCTATATATAGATGTCCAACTAGCATATTCTTAGTGTATGAAGTACAACTACTCTCATGATTCTTCTCCTATTTTTATGTTCTATTTATTGGGTAAAAGAAAGGTGAGTGTGGGTGAAGCTTCTACTTCTCAAGGTTGTGTAGACCGAAAGTAGTTACGGTGAGTGGGTTGGGTTGTTGTTTCCTCGAGGCGGCGTGATGTGTCCTATTATACAAAATAATTTATTCGTAGGGGCACAAACTGTTTTATAGAGAGTGACTTGGTCCATGACTCAACCCAAACTTAATATTTTTTTTGGGTATGAAAACTAACATTATTTCAAATTGAACGATGATAGAAGCAAGTGCGACAATCCCTTCAATTTTATGTTTACAGAATTTGATGGATATATGTTTATATCTAATTATATTTGGATCTATATCCAACAGTTACATGACATGATTTAGAAATAGGGTACCCCTTACTTGTAGACATTGCATCCATTCTGAAGTCTTTAGTTCAACATTTTCTTTTGAAGCCAGCTGGCCAAATTGAACCCACAGCCATACTGACAGGCTACTGATATTGGCAGTTCTAGGAAGGCCTCAACAATTTAAAGCCCCTGGCTACCCAGTCCCAAGTGGGTGTGAAAGACTTTTGTGTTGAAAGTGATAGAACAATACAAAAATAATTTGCATCAATGAGTGGTAGTGATAAATTGAAATGTCATTGCAGATATGGAGATGGCCAAGAAAGCATTTACTTTGATATTTCATTTGATTTTTTGTATAATTAGGCAACCAAATTTTGAAGAATCATATCACATGCTCTTAATAGGAATAATTATTAGTGTATAAATCTTTTAGGGCAAGACTACGTTACCAAAGGAGATTTCGTACCAAATTTATAAATTTTTTTGGGTCGGATTACAACTTAATGGAGCCAAGTTACGGCGCAAAAAAGTTAAGATGATCGATGCTGAAATGTGTAGGAACGGTGGTCACATTTTATAATTGATCCTAAATATTAGGATGGTCCCAAAATATGAGGATAAATCCTAAAAAACTTCATTTTATTATAATCTCATCAGATTAAATTGTAATAACTTCAGCAGGGTACCATGGCCTTACCTAATCTCTTAAGTCTAACCAACAGTATTGGTTGAATGACTTGAAAGAGAACTGACCCACTTGCACAGAATGATACAGACTGCTGTTACTAACCATCCTTTGGGAAATAATTTGTATGGTTTCAGTTGGCTTCAAATGAATACTAGTTGATTTTTTGTTGTACGTTTGATCAAGAAGTTTCTGAGGAAATTCCCTTTGAATAGTCTGAAGCAAAATAAAAGAATACTGACTTTTTCAGGGAAAATAGAAGCAAATGACTCAAAAATCAAATTTGCCAACTTGCAAGTAAATTGTTTGTATTCCTTCTCTTTCTGTAAAGTAATGTGAATAGAAGGTACAAACAATAGTTAGCTCTTGTAACAACTGAATAGCTTTGATAAACTAAACTTGTCCTTCTCAGTTATTCACTTGTGTCTCTTGTTTCTTCTTGTTCCCCCCAACCCACAACCACATTGAAAACAATGGCTGTGGCAGAAATTTTTCTAACTGCATTTGTAATTGTGCTGTTTGAGAGATTGGTCTCTTACGAATTGTTGAACTTTGCTCTCAGAGAAGGAATTCATACTCAGGTGAGGAAATGTAGCCAACTGCTGATCAAAATTCAAGCAGTGCTTAGCGATGCAGAGACTAAGCAAATAATAGACAAAGCTGTGAAATTGTGGCCGGAGGATCTGAGGGATGTGGCTTATGATTTGGATGATTTACTCGACGAAATCGCGACAGAAGCTTTGGCAGATAGATTGAAGTCAGAGCCTGAAGCTAGCACAAGTAGGGAAACAAACGTCATCTCTACTTATTATAGTAATTTTGCTAGAACTTTTGCGCTCAAAATGAAGATGGGACCTAAGATTGAGGAGATCACTGCTAGATTACAAGTTATTGCAGAATTGAAAGATGATCTGGATTTGAGAGTTAGTTGTGAAGCAGGCAAGCTACAATAGAGGAAGAGAGAGATTGCCAACAACTTCCTTGGTGGATGAATCTCATGTTTATGGTCGAGAAAAGGATAAACAAGAACTACTTGAATTGTTGCTTAGAGATGAGGGGTGCAATGATGAAACATGTGTCATTCCAGTAGTTGGTATGGGTGGTGTTGGTAAGACTACTCTTGCTCAACTAGTGTACAACGATGAGCAAGTGAAGAAGGCCTTTGATTTGAAAGTTTGGGTATGTGTTTCAGATGAGTTTGATGTATTCATGATAACTAGCAAAGTTTGAGTCAGTGACGAATGAAAGCCGTGACTTCAAGAACTTAGATACGGTGCAAGTGAGTCTTAAAGAGAAACTTTCTATAAGAAACTTTCTTATTGTTTTAGACGATGTTTGGAATGAGAACTACGTAAAATGGGATCTCCTCAGAGCTCCATTTCGAGTTGGGGTACCAGGAAGTAAAATTATTGTTACAACTCGGAGCAAGGCGTTGCATTAGCCGTGGGTTCTGTTCCTGTGAGCCATCTAAAGGAGTTGTCAGATGACGATTTTTTGTCTCTATTAGCTCAACATACGATGGGGACTAGAAATTTTGATGCCCATCCAAGTTTGGAAATAGTTGGCATGGATATAGCGGGAAAGTGTCGAGGCTTACCTTTGGCAGCAAAGACATTGGGAGGCCTCTTGCGCACTAAAAATAGCTTAAATGAGTGGGAAAATGTACTTCACAGCAAAATCTGGGATCTACCGGAGCACAAGAGTGATATTCTTCCAGTTTTGAAGCGAAGCTATCATCGTCTCCCTTCTCAATTGAAGCAATTGTTTGCATATTGTGCTATATTTCCAAAAGACTATGAGTTTGACAAGGATGAGTTAATTTTGTTATGGATGGCGGAAGGATTTCTACAACAATCAGAAGGAATGAAACTTATGGAAGAGATTGGTGGCTACTGTTTTGATGAGCTATTATCGAGGTCATTTTTCCAACGTTCAAGTGGCACCGAACAAAAATTTGTGATGCATGACCTTTTGAATGATCTAGCTCAATCTGTTGCTGGTGAAATATGCCTTACGTTGGATAATAATATAGAGAGCAATGTCCATTTCAGAATTTCTCAAAAAACTTGTCACTCGTCATTCATTCGCCACTACCATGAAGTGTCCAAAAGATTCAAGCAATTTCATGAACTTCAGTGTTTGCGGACTTTCTTACCACTTCCGGTTCATAAACCAGATCATTACGAGTGTCATTTCAGCAGTAGCATTTTATTCAACTTATTGCCAAAGTTACAGTGCCTAAGAGTCTTATCTTTGAGTGGATACCAAGTCTCTGAGCTTCCTGACTCAATCGGGGATTTAAAACATCTTCGGTACCTTGATCTATCTCGCACAATGATTCAATGGTTGCTTGAATCGGTGAGTACTCTGTACAATTTACAGACATTATCATTACGAGATTGTCTTGCTCTTTGTAAGTTGCCATCTAACATTGGAAATTTGGTTAACCTTGGCCATCTTGACAATGCTAATACTGGACAACTGCAAGAGATGCCCACTGGGATTGGCAAATTGACAAATTTGCAAACATTGCTAAAGATTTTTGTGGGCAGAAGTAATGGATTAGGGCTGAGAGATTTGAACAGCCTGTTGCATGTGCGAGGGATGCTTTCCATTGTAGGGTTGGAAAATGTTAAGGATGCGCGGGATGCAGAGGAAGCGAATTTAAATCATAAGCAGAATCTTGATGAATTAGAATTGAAATGGGGTAGAGACGTTGAACATTCTCAAAATGAAGGGCTACAAATTGATGTACTTGACATGCTACAACCTCATAGAAAATTGAGTAAGTCTGAAAATTGAGTTCTACAGGGGTATAACATTTCCTAGTTGGATTGGGGACCCGTCATTCTCTAAAACAGTGTACATACATCTTCAAGATTGTACAAAATGTGTGTTCCTTCCACCAGTTGGTCAGTTACCCCTGCTCAAAGAACTGCACATAGAAGGCATGGATGCAACAAAAAGCGTGGGTACTGAATTCTATGGCGATGGTAATGCCTTGAAGATTCCATTTCCGTCACTCGAGATTCTAAGGTTGGAGGAGATGCCAGAATGGGAGGAATGGTCTATTGATACTGGTGCTGAGGTTGTAGGGAACCATTTCCCTTGCCTTCGGGAGCTTACTATGCGCAACTGTCCTAAATTGGCAAGTGTTTCACTCTTAAGGCTCCCCTCTCTTAGGAAACTAGAGATCGAAAATTGTAGGGAGGTGGTACTAGAAAGTTTTTCTGAATTAACCACACTAACTAGCTTGAAAATTCAGAAGATTTTGGGACTAACTCATCGACATAAAGAGTTTTTGCAGTTCTTGGTATCACTCCAAGTTCTTGAAATTGGTTCTTGTGCAACACTGGTGTCTTTGTGGGAGAATGGGATTACACCACGAGACCTTTTCCGTCTCCAACGCCTGTATATCTGGGGGTGTCCCCAACTTGTGTACTTGGTAGAAGATGATCAAATGCTACCTTGTAATCTTGAATGTTTGGAAGTATACACCTGTGATCGACTGGAGAGGTTGCCTAATGGCCTGAAAGACAATAAATCTCTTAAAGAGTTGAGAATCAGACATTGCCCGAAACTTGAGTCATTTCCAGATGCCAATCTCCCTCCTATGCTTCGAAGTCTTGAGATAGGAGAATGCAGTGCTCTAGTGTCTGTACCTAATTGTATCTCTCACCTTGAAGAGTTGGAGCTCTATGACTGCGTGTCTCTAGCATCCATGCCGACGGACACTCTTCCATCCACCCTTAGAATACTTAGAATTTCTAACTGCGGGAACTTAGAGTCAGTTACAGATACGATTGAACAGAACAAAGGCCATTGGCCGAATTTGGAGAGTTTATCTGTATCCACGCTCAATTTTGAATGTTATTTGGCGTATCAAATTGGACAGTCATTCCCAAGAAGCGGTTTTCTCACTCCTAACCTACGAAGACTTTCTATCCGCAAGTGCGCAAATCTCTTTTCCGTTGCAAACCAGATTGAAAGCCTTACATCCCTTGAAGAGTTGAGAATATCTGATTGTCAAAGTCTCGAGTCCTTTCCTAATGGGAATTTGCCTCCCAACCTGAAAACAGTTTATATCAGCAACTGTGAAAACCTTAAGCCTCTATCAGAGTGGGGCCTGCACAGACTCTATTCTCTTCAACGCTTCGAGATGAATGGCGTATATCCAGAGCTACTTTCCTTCCCAGGGAAGTGTGTGTTTCCTGCTGCTCTTACATTCCTTCGGATTGGAAAAATCACAAATCTTAATTCTCTCTCTATGGGGCTTCAAAACCTTACATCTCTCAAGCATCTGGAAATCTACAATTGCCCCAATCTTCGTTCCTTGCCTAACGAGAGGACACTTGCTACACTTTCAAGTCTGACCATTAGGGACTGTCCGCTTATTAAACAATGGCGTTGAAGGAGAAAGGAGTAGATTGCTAGCATTCCCAGTGTTATTATTGATGTTATTGGATCCATGGGCAAAGCTGTGAACTTTTTGAGGAGGATGCCAGAGACAATCCCCAGTTTTTGTTCTCTCAGGTAATGATGCGTACCTCTTACTTTTTATCTGCTTGGCTTTATCTTCAATCATCTAAGGTTTAAGGTGTAAAATGAGAAAAGGGAAAAACTTATACTTTGCAACCCAAAACTATGATCTAGACCACACTTTGCCTCCTCTATCTTATACTAAATGGTTTTGCACTTCCCTGAACCCCCAATGGCTGTTCACTTTTGGGTGAAAAAATGACTAAAGTGCATGTCACATTGCCCCAAATCCAATGACATGTTTGTATTTTCCGCCCAAAACAAAAAATACACTATGCTCGAGAGTAATGTGAAATTGATTTAATACTATAAGGTATATATGATAGTGAAAATAAACCTGATGTTCATCTTAGTAAGCAGCCCCCTACCATTCAGTATTCTCTAAGCTTTCCTATTTTGTGTTGGTGTTTGCAGATTGTCATGAGGGTTGTTTTAAGGAGCAACTTTCTTATGCGCCAACCATAGACGTGTTCAGTCAAACACAAAAATATCTGGAGAGAGTGCGATTAATCCTTGTTAAATGTTTGTTTTGTCTTTATTTTTTCTCTTTGTATGGGTACTCCTGTACCTTTTTAATGTCTTAAGAGTGCTATACCTCTCTGTATTGATAACCAATGAACCTTACCTCACATTTGGTGGTGAATCAACAAATATTCATACTTGGCCTGCGAAAAAAAATCGGGGATATAAATTTATTTTCCTTTTTTTAAGAGTAAACTCAAGCAAATTTTGAAATGTAGCATTGTAACTCTAGTCAGGATTCCTATATACTTCATAGAATTAAAGCTTCAGGATTCCATTCTTCATGAATCTCTTTGTTCTGTCCATGGTAGAAAATAGGGTAGACTCTAATCTTACTTTGCCCTCTCAACCATTGTTATCAAAATCGTAAGATTTAATTTAATTTTGTCTCCATTTGATTTGTATTTTACTATAGAATCGTTTTTGGCTGAGAATCGCACCTAAATCACAAGAATCGTATGATTCATTTTTTTTTTTTTATTATACCCTATTTATAGTAAAACGATGTCGTTTTATTAGAAGAGGGCCTTAACTACTCACATTGTTCTTTCAACCTCTTGAATTGGTATTGCATTCCCTCAAAGCCATAGACAGAAAATGTCAAAATATTTAATAAAATACACGTTTTCAATGCTTTCAATTGAGACAATGTTAACTAATAAACTATAGTTGAAGATGCAATGCATGAAACATAACAGTTGAGAGGTATTGTGAAACTTTCGACTAAGGTTGTAGGTGTAATACGAAATAAAATGATGCAATGTAAGAAGAAGGGCATAGTTCAAGGGTTCAAATTCTGATTGTCCATAGAACTTACTATTGATCCTTACATGAAGATATTTAGAAGTTTTGTGTTACTGTGTGACTCTTCTGCAGAGGACCTTGATGGTGGTAGTTAGAAAACCAGACAGAGTAGGAGGCCTTCTATTTCCACCTCCGCTTAAAGACATAGTTGAAAGTTACAGAATCGGTTATTAACTCAAAGAATATTGAAACACACCGATCAAAAAGCAGGTGATATGTACGAAGTGCTATATAGAAAGAATTGAACATGATGCGAAATTCATGTTATGTTGGAAGACTACAGAAAGGTATTCGTTAATTTGGTGATGACTTAAGATGGCTCGAGGTTGATTCAGAGATATCTTGAACAATTTGTCCAAGTTGCTAGAGATTTATAGTTTATACGAAACTTGGAGTAATACCATATCAAAAGATGCGACACGAATAACACGATTAGTAGATATTGTAGACAAAAAAATAGTATTTAATGAGTATTGTGGACATAAAATAAAATTTTATAATTTTTAAATAGTATTATATGAGTTGTTGTGGAATTAAATAATTTTTTATTGATATGAATATTGACACGAACCTAACACGTACCAAAAATGATCCGACACAAAAATAATGACACAAAATAACACAATACGATATAATTGACACCTGTACTTTGAACCATGACTTAAGGGAGGTGAACTTTAACTTGCCAATATTTCCATGATCAATGATGAAAAGATATTTCCAAAGTCATGTATGTGCTACAACAATGTTGCGTGGGCTTTTTCATTGCAATGGGCCCATAACCTTTATTTCTACTTGCCATAGTCAAGATGAGGAACAAATGTCATGTAGAAGATTAGCATTGGAGAGGATTCAATGTCAAGGTTACTTAATCACAATGCTAAAAGATACTCGTGATGTCCTCTCAAAAATGAAGCAGTCTACCCTACCCAAAAAAAATTATAATATCTTACAGAGTTTCTGATGTCTAAGATTTCGTGTCTTACGCGGTCAGTTGATAGAGTAATAAGAGGAAATTAGTTAGACTGTAGCTTATTGAAAGACTAATTTCATCCATAAAGCTTTCACAAGTACGCTGAGGAACAAAGCATAGAATAAAAGATTCCTCATCTAAGGGCAATATTAACTGGCTGATGGATTTCGAGTAACTAACTTACTTTATAAACTAAGTTTTTAAGAATTTTTTTATACTTTTAGACTCATTTACAACTTTTTAATGTAATTTGATCTTTGAAAAATTACAGTTTGAACCTTAAAAATTTAATATGACCCAAAAAGTAATAAATTTTTTAGGACCGATTTTTTTTTTTTAGTAAATAAACTCTAAAACCTTGTATCTCAACCCATAAAACTTATAAATTTTAATATCGTACATTTGATATCAAAGTCGATTTCCTTACATATAGCTAAAATGCCTATTTGCAAGT